CACAATTATTTTATTACTACCACCCTGACACTTGTTCCTTCTTGAACTACTTCTTTCGGGAAACCTTACTTTGGATTTGTATTTCCTTTCTTGCTCATTTATTGTAAGCATGTAAATTTAGTTCTATAGTAAATATTGTAATAAAATTTCCTACACTAAGATTGCAAGTTGCCGTAAAACTAAATCTTATAACAAATTGGTTACGTGTTCCACGGATTCTGTTATGGCTAGCAGCGTTCGTTGCTCGGACTTGCAAAAGAGCCGAATAGCTTGGCATCCGGATGAACCTGTGGAATTATGAACGTTTGCTTATAACGAGTAAATAGGATAAGGTACTAATAAACATGTATAGGTATGGCTGTGGGTGATAGAACATGCGCAACTGACTACCATATTGATACACTTTTGGCGCTAAGCCCTCTCCCAGGTTTTAGAGGCGAGCCTATCTGACAATCCGTGGGTGGCGCCCTTCCTTCCGATGTGGTGTGAGGAAAGGCGTTTTAAAAGTCGTCCTCTCCAAATCGCAAGTGCAGTGTTTCTTTGGCAACTAATCATCCGTAAATGGCTGACTATGGGAAAGGAGGCTTATGGTCTTGATCGTGGAGGAGATTAATGGAAGCAGTAAGTTAGAGAAAAAAGGTGGAGGTAAGGTAGGCAGACAGGGAAGGAGACTGACAGTAGTCGTGAGTCAAAAACCTGAAGGTTACCTGGACTGGTATGGAGGCTGAGAACTAGGGAGCAGGAGTGTGAGGTGGAGAGGTATAAAACTAGAGCTGTAGAGGGGTGCAAAATGGTAAAAAGGAGAGGAAGAAAGAAAGATAATAGGAGAAACGGCTTTTTAGAAAGCTGAGAACTGAAGGTGTAGAGGTGTGCACTGGTATAGTCTGCATTCCTCCACTCACAATTTTGGCCACATCTCTAAAGCTATTTTTTGTGTCCGCAATCTAAAAACATACTCCAGCTCGTTTTATTTAGTAGATGTAAGCATGCTCGTGGCTTTATTGCTGTAATCCCAGAAACCGGGTTACACGTGGTTCGTCCGAATATGATGTTTGGCACTGTGTTTGGATTGCAAGAAAGTAATTGGACCAGCTGCGCCCAGAGATGTGCAATTAATCTACCAGTTGGCTGTGTAATTCGCCAAGACAAATGCACCACCAGTAATAAGTGGTGTTGTCAGTGGTACAAGTCTAGGTCCTGCAGAGGGGATGGGAGAGGAGAGGAGGTGGGCTTAATAATGCATGTGGGGATGGTTGTGCCGACGGTAGTGGTTGTGGTGGTTGGGTCAATGAAGAAAAGTGAAAAGTAGGCTTTTTGCTGGTTTGGGTAGTTTTAGTGCCTTTTGTGCTCTCACTGGAAGGCGTCAGGTGAGGCTTGAGGCGATGCGGTATTTTCCTTTAGGGGGGTTGATGGTGATTGAATGTGAGTAAATGAAAGTAT